ATTGAAATAATTAGGTAATAATATCTTTGTGGCAACTCCCATCTGTCAGCGCGGGTGACGCTGACCGGGTCTGACGACCGCTCTGTCAACGCCCACTTTTTGCCAGACTTCCTCGGTCAATTGCGCCCAAAATATGTCACCTATGATTTTTTTTATTTTTTCCGTGCTCAGGGGACACAAATTAACATGTTTAGAAGATGAAAAAAAAAATTTGAATTTTTTTTTTCTTGCGCACAGGGGTGTAAATGTCCCCAGGACCCCTGAGCAGTGTAAGGGTTAACTGAAAACCCAGAGATATTGACATAATGACACTGCAGGTCTGGAATCAAGATGATAAACTGATAAAGAACATCCAGGAAGAACTGGATGACAAACGAGAGAGGCCCCATAATGGTCATGAGAGAGATTATGGTAAGAGCTGACAAAGATAAATCCCGATTGTTGGTACTGGGGGACTTCAACTTTAAGTCAATAGACTAGAAGGCCCACGAGGCTAGAACAAAGGACACTTGGACAGGCAGATTTGTAAACCTCCTCTTGGAGATATTCAAGTATCAACAAGTCAAACCGGCCACAAGAATGAGGATAGGGAATGTTCCGTCAATACTGGATCAAATATTCACCAGGAGAGAAGAAGAGGTATTTGACATCCAGTACCTTCCTTCGTTGGGAAAGAGTGATCATGTCCTCTTGGACATTAAATACTCTTTGCGATATAATCTAGTAGAGAATGGGGGACATTGCAACAGTTGTTTCACTTGATTTCAAGAGAGGATGCTATGGGGAACTTAGAAATTTTTTTCATGGGTATAATTGGACAGACTTGTTGCTAGGCAAGGAAGTAAATGAGATGTATGCCATATTTTGCAAAATATACGATGAAGGCACACTAACAATCATACCAAAACCATAGAGATGCAGACCTAGGAAACTGGGTTGGTTCAATAGAAATTGCGAGAGGGCCAGAGATCAAAAGACACAAGCATGGAATCATTATAGGAAGAGAGACCAAACCCCCAAACATACCAGCGATACAAAGATGCGGGAAACAACTACACATCAGTAAGGAAAGAGGCAGAGAGGAACTTTGAGAACGGTATAGCAGACAAATGTAAATCGGATCCAGGTCTTTTCTATAAATTCGTTAAAAGCAAGCTGCAGGTAAAGGATAATATTCAGATGTTGAAAATGGAAGACAGATACATAGAAAATGAAAAGGAAATGTGTGAAACATTAAATGAAAAGTTCCAAAGTGTGTTATAACAAAATGAAATCTTCAGGGAGCCAGACACAATAAGAATTTCAGAGAACAACATAGAGCACATAGAGGTGTCTAGAGACGAAGTGAAACAAATGCTCTTGGAGCTAAGTAAGAACAAAGCAGTTGGCCCAGGTGGAATTTCACCATGGGTTGTGAGAAAATGTGCAGCTGAGCTCGGCATACCACTTCAGCTGAATTTTCAGACATCCCTGTGTACAGGAGATGTGCGGAAAAAGGCTAACATAGTTCCAATCTACAAAAGTGGCAGCAGGGAAGACCCCCCCTCAATTAAAAACCTGTATCATTGACAAATGTAATAGTCAAAATATTGGAAAAAATAATAAAAATTAAATTGGTAGAACACCTGGAGAGAAATTATATAATATCAGACAGACAGTATAGGTTTCGATCTGGAAGATCCTGTGTAACGAATTTAAGGTTTCAATGATTGAGCCACAGAGATTTTACAAGAAAGAGATGGTTGGGTTGACTGCATCTATCTGGACCTAAAAAAGGCTTTTGACAGAGTTCCACATAAGGGGTTGTTCTGGAAACTGGAACATATTGGAGGGGTGACAGGTAAGCTTCTAACATGGATGAAAAATTTCTTGACTGACAGAAAAATGAGGGCCATAATCAGAGGCAATGTATCGGATTGGAGGAATGTCAAAAGTGGGTTCACACTTGTGACAGTGCAAGAACTGAACCCACAGGGTTCAGTTCTTGCACCGGTAATGTTCATTGTCTACATAAACGATCTACCAGATGGAATACAGAATTATATGAACATGTTTGCTGATGATGATAAGATAATAGGGAAAATAAGAAACCTAGATGATTGTCAAGCCCTAGAAGATGACCTGGACAAAATAAGTAGCATATGGAACACCACTTGGCAACTGGAATTTAATATGAATAAATGCCATGTTATGGAATGTGGAATTAGAGAACATAGACCCCACACAACCTATAATTTATGTGAGAAATCATTAAAGAATTCTGACAAAGAAAGGGATCTAGGGGTGGTTCTAGATAGAAAACTGTCACCTGAGGACCACATTAAGAACATTGTGCAAGGAGCCTATGAGCCTATACTACACTTTCTAACTTCAGAATTGCTCTTAAATACATGGATGGTGAAATACTAAAGAAATTGTTTACGACTTTTGTTAGACCAAAGCTGGAATATGCAGTGGTTGTATGGTGCCCATATCTTAAGAAGCTTATCAACAAACTGAAAAGGGTGCAAAAACATGCCACTAAGTGGCTCCCAGAACTGAAGGACAAGAGCTATGAGGAGAGGTTAGAGGCATTAAATATCTCAAAACTAGAAGATAGGAGAAAAAGAGAGGCGATATGATCACTACGTACAAAATAGTAACAGGAATCGATAAAATTGATAGGGCAGAATTCCTGAGACCTGGAACTTCTAGAACAAGAGGTCACAGATTTAAATTAAAAATGCTGAAGAAATATAAGAAAATTCACTTTTGCAAAGAGTGGTAGATGGTTTGAACAAGTTAGGTGGGGAGGTGGTGGAGTCCAAAACCGTCAGTAATTTGAAAGCGTTATATGACAAGAGTGCTGGAAAGACGGGACACGAGTGTAGCTCTCATCCTGTAACTACACATAGGTAATTACACTTGGGTAATTACATACACCCATTACACAGATTACAGCCAGAAAGGGACTCGTCGTCGCTGTGACACAGCTTGAGAACTCCAGGATCTTTGCATCATATCTGAGTGATAGTGCTGGGGAGGGCTATGCAAGTGGTGTTCTCGATACCATCAATATACCGAGATCATCGATAAAAGGTGGACAGTGGCGACCGATTTGAAAATATTTTATAAATCTGGAAAAAAAATACTTGTCCCAGGGTATCTGAATCAGTTCCGACAAAATAAAAACAAAGATGGAGGATGGGGCAGGACTGGATGGGACACGGTCGTCAGTGAAGACAGCAGAAGAGGCAGACTTCAAAGGTTTTACTCAGAAACAAATATGGGAAACTGGTCTTCTCGGTAGGTTAGAGATAATTAAGGATATGCTAAAGAAGAGTGAAAACCCTTGAGAAGTTGACATAAGGGCATTGCAGGTCTAGTCAGGATGATAAAACTGATAATTGAAACTGCCTACACCCCACCAGCAAGCAACACATCGACAAAGGAAAAACTGGATGACAAACTAGAGGGCCTCATAATGGTCATGAGAGATATATAGTAAAAGCAGATAAAGATAAATTACAATTGTTGGTACTGAGGGACTTCAACTTTAAAGCAAAAAACTGGGAGGCCTACGAAGCAAGAATGGAGGACATCTAGACAGGCAGATTAGTAAACCTCATTCTGGAGCCATTCATGTATCAACACATCATGCAGGCCACAAGAATGAGGGAAGGGGATGTTCCGTCAGTACTGAATCTAATATTCACCGGGAAAGAAGAAGAGGTATTTAACATCCAGTACTTCCCTCCCTTGGGAAAGTGATCATGTCTTGTTGGACATTAAATATGCTCTGAGATATAATCTATAAGAAAATGGGGACACTGAAACAGTTGTTTAACTCGATTTCAAGAGAGGACACTATAGGGAACTTAGAAATTTTTTAACGAGTTTAATTGGACAGACTTGTTGCCAGGCAAGGAAGTAAATGAGATGTATGCCAAATTTTGCAAAATACGTACAGTATATGATGAAGGCACACAAACATTCACACCAAAACAGAGATGCAGAACAAAGAAAACAGGATTGGTTCAACACAAATTGTGAGAGGGTCAGAGATGAAGAGACAAAAAAAAATGCCTAAATATAGGAAGAGACCTAACCCACAAACATCCCAGCACTACAAACAAGCAAGAAACAATTACACAACAGTGAGGAGAAAGGCAGAAAGGAACTTTGAAACAGTAGGTAGGAAAGGAAGAGCCTGAACCAAGGCTGAAGCGACCAACGCTTCCCAAAACAGTCCCTAAAACCCATGTGGGGCAGCTCCAGGGCTTCCAAACAGGCAACCAGCCTAGCCCGTTGAAGCATAGAGAAACATTTATGCAGCATGGCAGCTGCCTGACCAAGCAGAATATCAGACAAGGGATGAGTGAACTGGAGCACAAGCAGGGAGCAAGTCCCGCAAGACTCTGGGTCGTAGATGTTCCCGACCCAACAGGGAGCATGGCGGAGGCAGAATGAATGATCGTCACCCTGAGGCAGAGGTGACGAACAACCCTCAAATTTGCACAAGGCGAGAGTGGGCTCGGAAGAAGTATCCAAGGGTACGACCGAGCCCACCGGGGTTTTCTAAGGCCCATATGGTGAATGAGTCCTTACAGGAACAGGAAGCCTACATTTCTCTGGATTATCAGTAACTAACCCTCACTCCCACCCCATTAATTTAAGTTACCATATCTTGCAGATCATCAGTCATCATTTAGCAGTCTCCGTGGTGTAGTGGTAAGACACTTGCCTGGCGTTCCGCGAGCGCTGTCATGGGTTCGTATCCTGGCCGGGGAGGATTTACTGGGCGCAATTCCTTAACTGTAGCCTCTGTTTAACGCAACAGTAAAATGTGTACTTGGATGAAAAAACGATTCTTCGCGGCAGGGGATCGTATTCCAGGGACCATAGGATTAAGGACTTGCCCGAAACGCTACGCGTACTAGTGGCTG